TCCTTCTCCCTCCCAACAAACCTTCCATCTCCTTATTTCAGACGAATTCAGCAGTGGTCACTCCAAAATCCTCCCTTCCCATCTCCAGCTCCTTATTTCCAACTACCCACATTTCTACTTAGAAGGGCTGGCACCATGCCCACCAACTTCCTCTCAAACCGCCTTCATCCCCTCCCCCTTCAGACCACCCTGCTTTTTTCTGGGAGTGACACCACAGTCCTGAGGTTCAAAACCACAGAGTCATCATTAACTCTTTCTTTGTCTTGAGAGCTGCTATATCTCAGGCTTTTACATGTATTATCTCATTTGATTCTCACATGAAACCTTCAGAAGTGGCTATTAGCATCCTAACTTTACAGACAAGGAAACAGGCTCAGAGAGGTCAAGTGACCTGTCCAAGGTCTCAAGTGCAGAACTGACTGGGCTGGGACGAGGGCAGGTTTTGACAGGCTGTGCGAAAGCCCACCAAGCATGCGCACGCACACACACGCTGTTCCCTTCTTTACGTTATAAATTATCCAGTCAGTCTCCACGCCCAGTTGAATCTACTTATACATGCTTCCTGTATGGGCCCTTTGATCACCCATGTGGATGCTCAGGCCCCATTCAGACACACAGGGCATGGCTGTGTGGTCACAGAGTCGGGGGTGGGGTCCTGGGGGGTTGGGGCATGAGTCCTGCACGTCTGGCTGGAGGCAATGACTTCACCGCAAGCTCCTTCAGTGAGCTGGTACGTGCTCTCAGCTTGGAACCATTTCTTCCAGGCATCATCCTTTCTTACCTGTTGGGTTGCCCTCCAGCCCAGGCTGCGGCTGGCCCCTTCCTTCTGGCCTCCATCTGCACCCCTCTCACTCCTCCTTTTAGCCCCAGGCCAAAAGGTTCAACAAGCTACCCTCTAGGAGCACAGCGTGGGTTTCCAGCTTCCTTCCCTCAATTTAGCTCTTTGTTTTCCCACTCTCAGCAAGAGATCTCCTAGGAAAATGCATCCTAAGAGGTTCTCCACGACACAGATCCCAGGGCCCCACTCTGAGTTTCTGGGTGAGAGGATCTCGGGTGAGGACCTAGAGCATTTTAACAAGTTCCCCAGGGGACTGGGATGCAGGTGGTTTCATTCACTCTCCGTTCTCTTCCCAGCTATCTCACCACACTTATACAAACCTGTTTTCACAATTCACCCCTTCTTTCCAGAGTTGGGATCAGATTCCCCAGGTTCTCACCCCTGACTGCACAGGAGACTCATGGAGGCATTTTGGAAAATACTGATGCCTAGATCCAACCAGAACAAATTAAAACAAAATCCCTGGGTGGGCAGCTCATCCCTGCTTTTCCCAGGATTGTCCCAGTTTTAATACAGAAAGTCCCACATTCCAGGGACTCTCTCAGTCCTGGGAAACCTGGATCAGCTGTTCATGCTACCGGGCTCTGGTATTTGTAAATCTCTCCATGTGATTCTAATTTGCAGCCAATGGAGAGAGTGTGGAGAAAAGGGAAGCCTCCTACAGTGTTGGTGGGAATGTAATTTGGTGCAGCCACTGTGGAGAACAGTATGCAGGTTCCTTAAAAAATTAAAAGAGTTATCATATGATCCAGCAATCCTACTCCTGGGCATATATCCAGAGAAAACTCCAACTGGAAAAGACACATGCACCCCAATGTTCATAGCAGCACCATAATAGCTAAGACATGGTAGCAACCTTAATGTCCACTGGCAGATGAATGGATAAAGATGTGGTATATATATATATACATATACACATATACACAGTGGAATATTACTCAGCCATAAAAAGAATGAAATAATGCCATTTGCGTCAACATGGATGGACCTAGAGATTATCATACTAAGTGAAGTAGGTCAGAGAAAGACAAATATATGATATCACTTGTATGTGGAATCTAAAATAAGATACAAACAAACTCATTTACAAAAAAGAAACAGACTCAGACATAGAAAACAAACTTACGGTTACCAAAGGGGAAATGCAGGGGGGAGAGAGAAATTAGTTGGGATTAGCAGATGCAAACTACTACATATAAACAAATAAACAACAAGCCCCAACTGTATAACATGGGGAACTATACTCAGTATCTTGTAATAACCTATAATGGAAAAGAATCTATATAACTGAAATCACTCTGCCATACACCAGAAACTAACACAACATTGTAAATAAACTGTACTTCAGTAAAAAATAATTCGCAGCCACGCTTGCCAAACACCCGGACTCCATCTGGGTCAAGAGACGCCTCTCTCAGTCAGCCAGCTCCCCCCGGCAGTCCCTCCAGGCAGCGCTGACCTGCCTTGTGTTTTCACTCAGCTCAGGTGATCTCAAAATGGGCCCCAGAACAGCAACATCAGTGTCATCTGGGACCCTGTTTAAAAAAAAAAAAAAGGTAGGACCAATTCCAAATAATTTGCTGTTCTCTCAGCTACAGAGAGATCCCTTGTGAATCCCTACCCAGAGCCGTGGACATTTACTGACTTGAGTGAAGTGAGGACTAAGGAGTTAACTGGTGGTAGAGGTTTGAGGCTGGGAGGTCAGTCCTAGTGGTGATCAGAGAGGGCTGGGTTTTGATTCAGATGCAACAAACATTTACAGACCACTAACCAACTAAATGGCTTGGTTATGCCATCTCATTAAACTCAACCCTAATTCTGTCCAGTATATGGTATTGGGGTTTTGTGTAAAACTTTCCTCTTCTGGCTCAAGTTCAGGACCAGTTGAGAAACAGATACATGAAGCAAACAGAGGTCACAGTATCAGCCACATTCCTGATAAAGCTGTGGGAGGACCTGTCTCTCTCTCTGGCCAAATGGACTTCCTAATATTTCACCCGTAAGTGAGGCCAGCTGACACATCTAGTCTTTGGCATAGAAGGATGACTATGGACACTCCTGCAGGAGCAGGCTCCCGACCTCATCACCAGAGCCGGCCAGATGCACCCACCCTGCAGATAGCAGATCCTGGGGAGGGGAGGGAGTGTTTAGCAGGCCCAGCTCATAGCTTCTCCCAGAGTCATTGGTTAGAGATGCCTCGCCTCTTCCCTTGAGGGATTGATGGGGAGGGAGAGGCCAGGGTTCTCCACTCCCATGTACATTAGAGCCACTCACGCCCTAATCCCACCCCCAGAAATGCTGGCCTGGTCTGGGGAGGAAGCCGGGCAGTGATCGTTTATAAAAGCTCCCCAGGTGATGCTAAGGTGCGTTAATACTGAGTAACCACACTTGGGAGATCCTCTTCCAGAAAAGAGGGGCCAGGGACGCTCCTCTCTAAGGGCTGGGCTTGCTCCTACTTCACAACCAGGGAAACAAGCCCTTGGGAACCTTGAGCATCTTGCCCTATGCCCAGAGCTAGTCAAGAGTCCTACAGATGAGTAATGGCAAGAGAATGAATCAGTTTTCTCCAAATCTCGGGTGGACTTGGAAGTTTGCAGCCAGAATGGAGCCAGCCCAGCTAAACCTGTGGTTCTAGCACCTCCTGGAGGGCTTAGTAAATGCAGCTGACTGGGCCCCACCCCCAGAATCTCTGATTCAGCGGAGGGCTGTGGAGCTCTGGAAAGAGAAGGGCACAGGCTTCTGAGTTGGGCAGACGTGGGTTCTTGCCACAGTTCTGCCACCAACGGTAAGCATGGCCTTGCCTGGGGTTCACCGAAGCTCTCTGGGGCTCAGTTTCCTCACTGGGCAAATAGCAACCACAGGAATGATAACCTCATGTGTTTTTCATGAGCTGAATCAGGTCGCACAATGCCCCTGGTATGGCGCATGGCATGTAGTGGGAAAGGAGATGAATTGTAGCTGTTGATCATTATTTGTAGACGTTGTTATTCAGGGATGGCTTCTTTGAAAAGACTGGGAGGAGGTTTTGGATGCAGGCAAGAAAACCAAGAGGCAGAACACCAAAGAGAGAGTGTGCCAAGTCTTAAAGGATGCAGGAGGGGAGCCAGGAACAGAGCAGACGCCAGTGCACAGAAGGGACAAGGGAACAGTGTGCAGAGGTGGGGGTCGGCTGCGGATCTGGCTGCGAGAGGCTGGGGTTCAGTCACCCAAAATAGAACTCCCTCCTCTCCAAGCTCCCCACTCCCTATCTCTCTAGGCCACACTTCACATGCCTCTGTCCAGACTCATTTGTTACAACTGCCCCTACGTTGCCCCCCCAACCCCTGCCCTAGGGATTCAAGGAATCTTAGCAATGTGTTCAGTTCCAAGTGCGGGAGGAAAAGAAGCAAAATTAAAAGGGGAAAACCCTCTCCCTAGGCCTGGGTCTTGGGATGACTTACCATAGCCTCCCCCGCAAGGTCTTCCTCTTCCCCAAAAGATGGCCATTCTGAGTCAGTATTTTGTTAGAAGTCTCCAGACCAACCAGGGTACCAATGGTCTCCCTGCACCCAACCACAAAGCCCCTTCTGCTGTCTGCCAACCCATGTCCTTTCCCTCTTTCATAACTAGACTCAAAGCACATCTCTCTGAAGTCTTCCCTGATGAACTTCCCTTGATTGCAAGAGTTCTTTCCCCCATGGGTGCGTCCATTCATTCCATACATGTTTACTGAGCATCTGCTCTTGTAACAGAGAAGAACAAACATGACTCCAGATTGGGTCTATTCCTTTAGCTCTAACCCTCAGGCTCTGTTGCCTGTGCTGAGTCATGTTGGCTCTGCACTTTTGTCAAAGAATGTTACCTAGATTCTGAAATACCCAGGATAGCCCATTCTCAAGGCTCTGATCTTTAAAAGTATAACACTTTTCCATTCACATAGAGATAATAAGTTGCAGAACAGAAAATAACAATTGTCTTATTGGAGGTTTATAGGAACACTGTGACCAGATCTACGGGGACAGTTAAAAGAGAAAAGGATTTCTGCACCAAGAAGTTTGCAACAACCAGCCATACTCCCTCCCCTTTTAGTATGAAAGAAGCCTGAATTCTAACTTGGGTACATGGTTCTTTAGGGTGCTGGTCTGTCGTCGTCTCGGTCTGCTGGCTTTCTGAATTAAGTTGCTAGTCGTTGCCCCAAAACCTCATCTCTCAACTTATTGACTTGTCCTGCCGCAAGCAGTCCAAGCTAGGACTCAGTCTGTAACAGTCTGTGACTAGGCACTGTGCCAGGCAGTAGGGATTCTGATACAAAAAAAAAACAGTGCCTGCCCTCCTGCAGCCTGCAGAAGAGAGCACTAGAGTTGGACCTCATACAGTCAGTCGTAAGGAGAGAACAAGGTCCCCTGGCATGTTCTTCAAGTTCATGCTCATGCTCTTCAATCCTTTTTTTTTTCCTTCCAAACATGAGAAGAGACCTCCCAGCCTCTGATGAGATGCACCAAATCTTTGCCCTCTTTGTCTTGCACACACAAACCACACCAAAAAAAATACACCTGTATCAGACACAGATAACACACTTAATGGTTCCATGTTGCTTTCCTATAGACTTGAGACTCAGCGCATGTCATCTTCAGTAACTGACTCAGCCCTTCTATCTGGTATCTTAAGGACCATCTCAACCTACGCTGGTTGACCTGCTTGGATGTACCAGGCACAGGAGATAAGAGGTGAATAAGATCTTTCTGAGCACCTAGAGATGACAATGTAACTGAGTGGGACCCTATGGGGCCTTCCCAGGACCCTGTTATGTCCCCCTTCATGTCCTCCACCTGCCATTTGTCTGTAGAAAACTTTGTCTCCTAGGCTTCCCTGAATTCCAAAGAGTACACTGAGTCAGAGAAGTGAGAAAATACGGAAAGAAAGGAAAACAGTCAAGCAAGACAAAAAGTAATAGTTTAGCCATCAAAGTCAAGGAAGTTTAGTTCCTTCTCAAGGGCTCTAGGTAATATTCTGAGCCATGTCCTTTGAGCTGGTTTGCAGAGACTGAAACCCCCACCAGGTGGAAGAACTTAACTGCATGCTGCCCACAAGCAGGGAGACCCCAGACTCTTTGGAACCAGAAGGTTGATGATGTTGACTCCCCCACGATCTCACCACCAGCCAATCAGAAGAATCTGCTAGCTGATTGCGCACCCCACAACCCTTCTCCCCTTCTCCCTCACCCTATCTTTAAACACCTTCTCTTGAAAGCCTCTGAGGAATTTAGGCCTTTTAAGCACTAGTTTCCCTGGACTCCTTGCTTGGTGCCCTGCAATAAATCCTGCACTTTCCTTCACCACAACCTGGTGTCAGGAGATTGGCTTTACCACAAGCGGGCAAGCAGACCCAAGTTTGGTTTGGTAACAACAGTCTAGTGGGAGAGCCAGGCACATAATCAGATAGTCATAGTATAATATGGGAGGCACACAGGTAAGGCACTGCGATGTGAGTGGAGAGGGGCATCTGATACAGCCTGGTTGTTGACCAGGAGGACACCAGGGGAGGCTTCCTGGAGGAGGCAGTGAAGAGAAGCAGTAAATATGAAATTGTGCCTATGCAGTGGCTTGGCTCCTGCCATTTCAGTTTCTCTTAATCATGTCTCATGACTGTGCTCCCTTCCCTTCCTTCTCAGGATGCCCCAGGCAATGGGGATTTTGGGAAAATGAATCCATGTGCATGCGGTATGACTGTGGGTGGATTTTCTTCCCCCTCCTTTTACTTAAAGTTAACATGATAACACCAATAACTGATTATGTAAGAAGAGCTAAATATATAAAGCAAAAGGTTATTTCCGCTGGCTATTTTTAAGTGGTGCCCAGATACCCGCCTTGGCCTTTCAACTCCCGTGTAACTGAAGGCCAGGGCTGAATTTTCAAATGTTGCACCACGATCCTTCAGAGCTGGAAAACAGCTCCTGGCAGATAGAAAAGGGCAGGGCTGCGGCTGACTTGAGCGCTGAGTCAGGGCTGTACCAGGCTCTGCACAAAGCAGCTACAGCTGCGAGTCAAAGGCCTCTTTAACGAGGGAAGCCGAGCGGGGAGGCGGCTGTCAACCCCTTCTCGTCGTGCAGTCCTCCCCACAGGTAGCGAGGATCATCGTTCCTGTCCAGACTGCATGAGCACAGAAAGAGGAACGCTGTGAAGACGTTAGAGCTGCCACTAAGGACCTCTAAGACCTTGGGGAAATTAACTTCCTTAAGCCTCACCGTCTTCGTCAGTCAAGAGAGAATATGACTGACACCCCCATCAGGTAGGCACGAGGAGTAACCGGCAACTCAGGAATAATACCGCACGTCTGATACACAGTATTTTACAAGGAAGATATTAAAATATTTCCCAATACACTTTGCCTCTGGGAAATCCAGGTTTTTTGGGGGTTTTTTTTTGTTTGCTTGTTTGTTTTTCCCTTTCTCCTGTACCCTTCTAATATCAGTGCTAAGCCACAGCCTTATTTTCTCTGGTCAAAGAAGACAACCTCAAAACAAAAAGGTCAGTAGAGCAGGGAACGGTCGCTAAGAGGCAATGTTGTTTTCTCTGGACAGACGAGGAAACAGAAAACCTTTCCAGGACTAGGAAGCAAAGGGGGCCAGGATTCCACTCTCTTCCACACCTAGGGGAGGGACATCATTAGAAAGGACCCGATGACTTGGAGAATCCCAGAACAGGGAATCACACCTGGGGAAATGCCACGCCCCTTGGAGAAGCCCTGCCTTCAGCTGGGCTCAAAGCAACACAGCCCTGCCAGGGGCAGGTTAGCAAGGACTGGGGGCTGTCCTCAGGCCCACCCATCCAAAGCCTCACATCCAGGCAACAGCCAGACACTCAGGCCCTCCAGGGGCAGCAGGTGTCCTAGGAGAGCCAGGGGGCCTGAGGAAGACCAGGCTTCAGCAGAGGGTGCCAGGTCCCACGTCAAAAGCCCCGGGCACAAGACCAGACCTGGCCCCATCAGTAGATTTCAGCACAGGGGACAGAGAGGCAGAGGGAACACAGGACATGTCAGGGGACATCAGCAGGGGCCCTGTGGCCCCCAGGCCCTCCCTGACAGCCTGAAGAAAGCTGGAGTTTCCCAGCAAGCAGACCTCAAGGGGAGGGGAGGGTGATCCTGGGGAGATGCTTTACAGGGAGTCTGAATCCTGACTTCACTGGACCGTGAGCCACTGTATCACATCAGGAGAGACTAAAGGACCTTTATTTACCAAGCTAAGATTTTTATTGCAAGTTATCAATTACAGCAAGTAATTACTTTCTCCGGATCTTCTGGGCAGGGATGTAAGCAGCAGGCTGTATTTATGCAGTGGGTTCTGAGCCCCACTCCTAGTATACCTCTTCCTGATGTGAAGCTGTTCACTTTCTGTTCCATCAGCATTGAGGTGACAATCTCAATTGTCCTGCATTAGGTGGAAGGTTGTTTTGGTGACCTTTGCATAATTTTGAAAATCTGCAATTCCAAATCTGGGAATCCTGTTCACCACCCACCTCCTGAGAAGGTGGTGATGTGCACGCAGTATGATTTGATTTCAAAGCTAGCGACAACTCTCTTGTCCCTCAAATACACCCACTTTTTTCCTCACTGCTTGAAATTCCACTTAAGTTGTGCTGTTTTGGCTTTAGACTTTGATTCTATGTTAAAATCCGTTATCAGTCTTTTCAAGTGCAGAGATTACATAACACATTCATATACTTTATCCACTTGGTTTTCACAATAGCCCTGTGAGGTAGGAGAGTGGCATTGTCTCCTTTTGGGAAAAGAAATACAGAGGAAAGACTGATTTGGGAGCTAGAGAGGCTGGGTTTGAGCCCCAGCTGTAACTCATTCACTGTGTGACCTTGAACAGGGATGCACCTTCTCGGAACTTCATTTTTCTCCTTACAGAGGATTACAATTTTACTTTACAGAGTGGTTGCCAGGATTAGAGAGAATATTTTCATTCATTCATTCATCTGTCCATTCACCCATTCATCATTTATTTATTCTACAAATATTTTTTCTCCAGCACATGTTGACTTGTGTATGTATTCACCAGCCATTTCAGCCATTTTCAAGTCTTCAGTAAATATTAGCTGCTATCATCACCATCATCATAGCTAAATAGGTTATTCTCAGATTGACACAGAGGGAAGGAAGTTGAGGACAAGAGCAAGAAACAGTCCTAGGAGAGCTGAGGGAGCCTGGTGCGGAGAGGAGAGGAAGAAACAGAGGGGAGGGGAGAGTTGCAGCCTCTGGGACTCAGGTGTCACCTGGAGTTTTTAACCCTCTCCTATTATTCTGTGCAAGTGTCATCAAGCCCTCCCTTCTCACTCAGGTTTAATTTGTTCAGCCCTTTTCTCACCAAGGGGACTGCAGAGGAAGGGGCACCAGGGTACTTGCCCCCTTAGCACCTGCCTTGCCTGTCCAGATAGGGTCGTGAAGGGCCGCTCAGCTGCCTGCCCACTTCCTGTCCGCGTGGCCTTGGCGTTCAGCACAGTGGTTACAGCCAGAACTCAGGAGGCAGGCTGCCTGACTGCAGATCCTAGCACCACTTCTCATGGGCTGTGTTATCTCTGGCAAGTTACTTTACCTCCCTGTGTCTCCGCTTCCCCATCTGAACATGTGAATAACGGTAATTTGTTTCATAAAGTGACTGTGGGGATTAAGTTAGTGGCCACGAAAACAGTGATTAGGGTCCTGCCTGGCCCCTAGCAAGTGCTGTGTGAGTAGCAATAATTGCACACCTTCTCAATGAGGTTTTCCATGATTATTTAAAATAACCCCTCTTTCAACACCGTCTACTCCCTCCTGCCTCCTCATTTTCCACATAGACTTATCACCATGCAAGATGCTATATACTTTTCTTATTTATTACCTCTCTCTCCCTGAGACATTTCCATCCATCATTCATTGTGTATCCACAGTGACTAGAATGACTGCCTAACACATAGTGGACCCTCGTAATAAAGAATGAATACAGGCAACTTTTCTTACTGTTTAATTTTAGGCAGATTATGTACCTCCACATGCCTCAATTTACTCATTAAGCAAATGGAGTTGATGTGAGGATTAAATGAAATAACATTTGTGAAGATGTCCACTCCAGCCCTCGGTACACAGTGGAAGGATGCTGGCCAATCTGGGAGGACCAGTCAGCCTGACTCGGGCAGGGCCTGCAACAGTTAATCCCCGAATCTCTTCTCTCATCAAGTCTGGACCGCAAGGCCACTGGCAACTGTCCAGGTGGAGGATAAATGTCAGAGGTGGGTGCCTGAGGAGCTGCCCTGGTCCTGATGTGGGGTCTTGACCTGGGCAGCTGGAGTCTCTCCCTGCCCCCTCCTGCTAGGAGACACTGCCTGGGCCTGGAGCTTTTCGGGCGCAGGAGCTGAACGGTGGGAACCTCCGCCTGCCTGGGTCCCACGCCACATCCTGGCCTTGGGGGAGGTGGGCCAAGGCCCTGCTTCCCAGCCATTCCCAGGCGGCCTGCTCTCCTGCAGGCCCAGCTGGGCTGACTGAACCAGAGGGCCATGGGGGCAGGTCTGTTCCTCAGCATTGCCTTGTCCCGTAATCACGAGGAGGAAGACACAGCCCTCAGCACAAGGAGGGTCTGCATTCAGAGCCCAGCTCTGTCAGCTCTGAACCCTACCTGCTTTCCCAGCCCGAGGGAGGGAGGGTGTTCAAAGGCAGAGGAGCCTCATGCAGTCAAGTCACAGAGAGGACATGCAGAAGAGCTGACTCCAAAACAGGGTCTTCTCCTATTTCTCCTAATTCTCCAGCTTTCCAGAAACTCCCTCAAGAGCCCATCCCTCGCCAAGACTGATCCAGAAAGAGATGGAAACAGATGAATACACTGAGCATGGTTGGTGAAGATGAATAAACAAAACCGGGCATTTATCCCATGGGTTCATTCATTCCACAGTCACGGATGGAAGTCCCACTCTGGGCCAGGCACTGAATGCCGCACGGATGTGGCCGTGAATCTAACACAGATCTGGTCATTAAAAACAGTCGATCGAGGAAGGGGGAGCCACGGGAAAGCAATTTGGGGAGGGGGCAGAGCTGCACAGGGCACTGTGTGAGTAGAGGGGGAGGGTCTCTAGCACGGCCCGGGGAAGGAGGGAGAGCCAGGAATCTGGAAGGGCAATACCCACGTGCTTCTGGCAGGCACCGTCTTGAGGGAGAACACAGAAGCTAATGAATGGAGAAACAGCAGCCCCCATCAAGGGGCCAGCTCAGAACCACTTGGGGGGACCCTGGCCTCAGCTCCCATCCTCTCAGTCGTCAGAACCTTTCACCAGAAAGTAAGCCCCCTGAGGGCAAGGACATGGTCAGGCTGCACCCTCAAGCTTAGAAGAGTGACAAATGCATGGGAGGCACTCAGCCTCTGGTGCATAAATAAACCCCCTGAGGGTGAGCTCATGACTGACCCCCAGGAGCCCTTGGCATTCGTGAAAGGTGACACTGCCCAGTTTCCTCTCGATAAGCATAAAAAGCATCATGTACTATAACCCTCTAACTGGTGCCCAACAGGCATCTCCTTAGCCTCCAGCATGAGCGTCCTTCACAGGCACAAACAAGGGTTTTTTTTTCCATCTCCCAAAGTGCCCCAACTTCCCCACAGTCACACTCCTTCCATAAGCCCCAGGGCATGGCTGTGAGCGTCATGTACCACTGTGGACTGAGGCCAGAAGGAGCAGATGGTTTGGTACCAGTGTCTTCACCTTGGCCTCTACAGAAGAACATCACAGTACTGTCACCCACACCCAGTCCTGGGCTCCCTGCAGGCCCATCTCAAAAGTCAAAAAATATCTGCCACCAACTGTCGGTTATTTGGGCAGTGACGCCAGATTTGGAGAGCTGCTACAACCACTCCTCCCCAGGGATCTCCTCCCTCACCTGGCCGAGCAAACACTCATCATGTCTTTGTTATTTCTCCCCAGTATCTTTCCAGGGAGCCAGATACCTAGCCAGCAGGCAGAATGGACCAAGATGGATGTCCGTGGGGGAGGAAGCCAGGTTCACTGAGCCAGGCATGCCTTATCCAATATTTACCAACACACCTATCCCTTCCAGACACACATTATATGTGAGCCTCATCCCCATTTCCCATTAGAAACAAGATTTACAAAAGCCAAATAATTTGCCCTGAACCATTTAGCAGTGGTAGAGCAGGACTGGGTCTCTCTCCTACTGCACTCTGCCCAAGAGGCGCCAGGACCACGGAGTGCAGTGCCTAGGCCGTGAGCTGCAAGAGAAGCCCACTTCCAAGGGGACGTGTGAATCCGCCATGGCCACAGGGCACGCACACCTGGGAGAGGAGGTGCAGGCCGGAACCTGCTGCACCTGGGCTCCTGCACCTCCCAGAGGCCCAGTTCCAATTCCCACCTGCCGAGCGACACCATGTCTGGGAGTGGTGCTGGTGGGGGCCCAGCATCTTCTCCTGGGTACCACGGAGAAGAGTGTGGGCGAGGGAGGGGTGGACTAGGCTGCTTCTACCCCAATACGTTTAACTACACTGCCCTCAAGGAAGGACATCCTTTAAAAATGCGCACCAGGACTCTACACTGGGGGAGCAGCATCCCTGGCCAGAGCTCCCCTGTGACAGGTGAGCCCCCTGGGTCCAGCTGAAGCCATCCCCAGGTCACTTCTCACCACTGTCCTCCACTAGCCAGGCAGTCAGAATAACCTGGTTCTGAAGGAGAAGACTGGAAAATTCCAGGCTCCTGTAGCTGCCTCTGCTATTTTCCCCCAGCGGGCCTGGCTCCATACTCCGTCCATTCAGAACACACCCTGGGAGGGAGGGGGGAGCCGATATTCACACTCTGGGCCCTACCTGGAGCTGGCTCCCCACGACCCGATTTCTGCGGCATCTTCTCTTACTGAGAAGGCGCCAGTGGTACCTCTCCGGCTCATCTTGCCTCAGGACCTGGGAGGCCTCTCCTGCATGCTGACAGGAATATTCTGCCCTGAATCTGCAGAACCATCTCTGTCAGGGATTTGGGGCTTGTTTCCTTAATTAACTGACAATGCTAACACAGGAGCCCAGGAGCCGGCAGGGCCCTGGCCTTCTGCGGCTACAGGAGAAAATTCTTGTTTCGAAATCTGGCTCTCTTGTCCCAACTCGATCCCCTCCTGGGATGTCAAAACAAACAGGGACACCCGATCATGGGGAGCAGGGACTAGGCAGGCTCAGGTTACAGGACCAGAGAGATGGATTTAGCTCCAGGATGCTTCAGTGCCTGACACGTGATGAGATCTTAGTTTCCCAAAATGGCTTGGCCAGACCCCCCCAAAGCCACCAGCTGTGTCAGGGGCTCTATGGAGGAAAGGGGGAGGTCATGAGCCTGTATGCCAACAGTATTTCCTGTACTCCTATTGCCTGGCAGGCATGGAGCCAGGGATGGGGGAGGCGGCGGAGACAGGCAAGTCCTATTGACACCTGCCCTTGAGGAGATACAGTTAGGAACAAATTACTCAAGCGTAGTGTGTAAAGGGTCACTTCCAAGGCAAGAACAAAGTGACAGAGTCACAGAGGAGAGGAAGAACTCACTGTGTAGCACAAGGTTCAGGGATGCAGGGTCATGGCAGGACAATAAGAGGGAGCATCTGACCTGAAAAAAGAGTCAAAATCTTTTGAGCAGATAGGATGCATGTTGGGGAGGAGGAAGGCACTCCAAGTGGAGAGGACCTCTCAGGCAAAGCCTAGGAGGCAGGAAAGAGAAGAGAAAGTTGAAGGGAGGGGAGGCAGGGCCGGTGGCTGGACAATGGGGTTCATGGGGGACACAAGGACGCCGTGCAGAAGAGGCAGCCGGAGATGCACAAGGGGGTGGGCCCAGCATGTTAAGGAGTCAAGCAGGCCACGGGGAACTAGCAAATGTTTTTCTGTATAGCCTAACTCCATCTGGGGCAGGGGTTGCCAGAGCTGGCCCACTGCCTGCCAGTTTCTGTAAATACAGTTTCACTGGAAAAGAGCCATGCCCACTCATTTACGTACGTCTAGGCCCACTTTGGTACTTGAGTCAAGTGAGTGCGACAGAGACCCTGTGACCCCCAAGGCCAAACTCTGTACCGTCAGGGCTTCACAGCTTGGTGACTCCTAATGCAGAAGACGGACAGGGCCAGAGAGAGATCTGGAGAGAGGAAGCCCAGGGTGACCGCCCAGGATCCAGGGGAGGGACAGGAATCAGAGAATAAAGATACATGGGGGCATTACTCAAAAGGAGGTATGGCCACAAGTGACCTCCTGGGAAGACCCAAAACCTCCGCAGGAGGAGGAGGAGGAAGAGGAGATGGACGAGGAGATGCACGAGGAAGAAGAAGAGGTCTGGGTCTGTTGTCTCCAGCTGCCCGCACAGGTGGGTTATCTGGCCCGCACAGGGTGCTGGCTGCCCAGCCCCATCCAAGGGCCTGGGCACCAGGCCAGCATGATGTGCCCACACGCCCTCGGGGTGGCCAGGCCTGAGTCACACGCACAGTTCCCTGTATCAGGGGTCCTGCTACGGCCTTCTCACCCAGCAGCTGTACCCTGGGAGAGGTCTGAAGCTCCGGGGTGACCAGAGAACACCCTTCTTTGAGAAGAAATCACACAGTGTTCCTGGGAGGCCCCTACTTTCCCTTCCCAGCCTCAGCACAAGTTGTCCCATCTGGAAAGGCTTAGAGAGGAAATCTATCTGCTAGAGGACAGAGATGCTGTGCCAGAAGTGGGGCTCCCGCTCCTTATTTGGGGACTTCCCTCTTTCCTGACTTGTATGTTCCTCTTTGAGTCTCTGGTCCGGGTCCCCGGAAGTTCAGAACCCCATGCTACTTTTTCCAGTTTACTCCACCTTGAGGAGAGGGAACCTGGACCCCCCTCCCCTGGGACACCCTTAGTGCACCTCTCCCTCCTTGCAGTAGAATCAGTGTAGACTTTCTGCATCTTTGGTACTTTGGGCCTTCCAAGCATACAACGCAGCACCCGGTTTAAGAAACAAAGCATTAAAAGTTAAACACTATCATTTCAGGAAACCACTTGGTGCCAACTTGCACAGAAACATAGACTCAGGGACTAAAATCTCGGGCCAGCAGTAGGTTCCATGATGGCCATTCAGATGATTCAGAGTGAATACATTTGATTTTTAGATTATTATTAAAATGAAAAAAAAATGAAACATTTCTCAAGGAAAAGAACATTTTCAAGCAGCGTTCTCAACACACTCTCCCCAAGGGTCTCTGGGCTCACCTGAAAGATTCTGAATGGGGTTGAGGGCCTGGGCTGTGGAGTTCAGTTGGCCGGCCCTTCCCCAGTCTCATGCCCCACTGTGTCTTCAGTGCCCACCAGAATGGCTGGCACATAAATAGGTCACGAATGAGTGATTGAATGAATGAAGTTCAAGTCCTGTTTTCATAATTTACCAGTTCTGTGTCCTCAGGCAAGTTCCTTCACCTCTCTGAGGCTCAGTATCTTCATCCGTAAAATCTCCAAAAGTATTCACAACTCAAAGAATTACTGCAAGAATTCAATAAGATGGTACCCATAAAGCCCTTGGCACAGTGATTGGTATATTCAAGGTACAGAATCAATGGTAATTATTGCTACTTTTCAAAGATCTAAAACATCTTTGCAGATCTTCATTCCGTCCCAATTCCATCATAGCATTTTTTTCCCTCTCAGTAAATACCCAGACAGAGTCTGGCACAAGATGGAGCGCAGGAAAGAGCTCTTGGGGCAGAATTTAGCAGAGGGCATTCCTGATCTGGAACTCAGGGCTCGGGCAAGCACAGGGGTTGAGGCTGCTACTGTATCCTGCCTCCTCTGTGGGAAGCTACCTCTCAGGCACAGACCCCAGCCCTCCAAACTGCACCTGGGCATTCAAGGCCAGGGAGCTCACCTGTGCCCATGCCACAGGAAACAGGGCTGGGGGACGGCTTGGTCTGCAGAGGGTAGGGGTGCCAGCTCAGCCCCATCCTGCCCACTGCACGGATCTCTCCCCATGCCTTCTCATGCTGAGCTGGGGCAGCATGGGCCTCCCCCCGGGCAGCATTCCCAGGCTTCAGAACAACAGGCCCTCCATTCTTCCCTGCCTTGGCGGACCTGCCCCCTCCTGCTACAGCCCTGCCGGCTCTGCTCACAGGCAGCTGCCCCAGTCCAAGGGGCCTGCAGAAAAAGCCCCGGGGCCTGATCTGTCCCTTCACCCAAGTCCCTTCTGAGACAGAATCACAGCGTCATTCACTTCATCTGGCCTCGGGGGCATCTTCACAAAATAGCCCTCACTGACATTTTGTCTTCCTCAAGTGAGAGAAATCTGACATCGGCCCCTCCCTGAGCTTCCTGCCTTAGGCCAGGCTCCAGAAATTTCCAGATGTCAACCCTCAGCTCCCTGCCTCAAGGGTGACAACCACTGGGATGAGGGGTGGGGGTCACCCCCAAGTCCAGGGTTCCCTACCCACTGGGAATCCCAGCCCCACCTCCGGCTCCTTCCTACATCTGCCCATCAGATTCCATCCAGCAAGAATCACCAGACTCAACCCCCCAATCTGCAATCCACAGTCCAAGGAGGAGAATGTGACATGGGTTTCTTCCATTTCCCAAGTTTATCCAGCTATTTTCTAACTCTCTTTTTAGGGATCCTGAGCTCAGCCCTTAAGAATGATCCTTGTATGTCCCAGAGCCAGGGCTGGGGGGGGTGGGAGCCCAGGGCTGCAGTGGGGGGCTGTGAACAGGGAGTCCTTCCTCGGGCATGGATTCCTGGGGGATGGGCCCTGGGTTCAAAGCAGCCTCCCTCCGCTGGAGGGTCCAGCTCTCAAATCCAGCCCAGGAGGGTCCCAGCTGCAGCCCAAGGAGGCACAAGCAGGGGAGCTGGGGAGGCAGGGCCATGATGGACTAGTGTGTGGCTGCCTTTCTTAAAGGGACAGCCTGCCTGGAGAGCCCAGGGGGAAAGACTACACAGGAAGGAGCTGGCGGGGATGAGCCTACAGGGAAAAGCCTGGACAAGCACCAGGCCCCTGAATTGTTCACACGTCTAATCCTGAGGACTTAACCAGCTTGACTCTCCTCCTGCTGTGTAGGACAGTGTGACAGAAAGA